TGTGTGTGTGTGTGTGTGTGTGTGTGTGTGTGTGTGTGTGTGTGTGTGTGTGTGTGTGTGTGTGTGTGTGTATTAGGGCTGTAGTGATACAGTAATATTACGATATGATACGATACACGATATTCTGTCCACGATATGATATATATTGCGATATTCATCAAACGATACAATTCAATACACTTTTGCTATTTTCTGAAAGATTTTAGAGGGACAGAGTGATTTTGGTGATATTTTGTGACTGTTATAGAGTTGGATTGAATTAATTTAACTGAAAACTGATTAAAACACCAACCTGGCTCTGGTTGGACATGGACACAGACTTAAAGTCGACAGCTGGACAAAAAGAATCAAAGAAGTGGTGAGAAAACATGTTTCTTTTAATTGAAACAGTACAAACTGTAGCTTACATGGATTTATTAAGTAAATAAAGTGCACTAAGCACCCTGCTCTGAATAGTTTGATACCTTTTTAACCTTGACACTTAACATCTGAAGGAATCACTCTAAGCCTGATGACCTAATCCCGCTCCCGGCGAAGCAAGCAGTGAGTGAGCAAGATGACAGTTGGATGTTACGATACTTGCGGATGAATATCGATTTTTTTCTAGGAAAGAAAATATCGATATATATCGCGATATCGATATTATCCTACAGCCCTAATATATATATTAAAAAAGTTAAGGTTTTTGTTGTCTTTACGTATCACTGCCGTTCCCTGTCCTCTGCTGCAGACGCTACGTCAAGCAACAGCACAGTCCAAATAGCGAAAGCAGAGCTTCGGCCTCCGCCACTTTGTCCAGCTGCAGCCAGACTCCTGAATGTTCCACATCGTCTGCCCTCAATGCCAGCCTGGGGGGCTGCGGCAGCCCCCGGTCAGACGGGGCCTCCTGCAGCGCCAGCTCCAGTAACGGTAGCAACCACTCAGGAACCTGCAACGAAGCTAACGGGCTGTATGACGGTAATTAGCAGATATAAGCTACTGTTGTCCTGCTGAGGGAAGTGTAGTTAGAAGAGGGTGAACAGGAAAAGACAAAGGATTTTCATAATAAATGAAGGATACGTTTCTGTTGTTCAGGTGAAGAGGAGGCCATGGATCACCAGGTGAGCCCCGAGCCGGAGAACGGGCCGTCTGAGGAGGAGGAGGAGAGCTCAGACTTGGAGAACGGCTCTAAAGGGAATGCAGCCAAGCTCTTCACCTTCAGCATAGTCAACTCTTACGGGACCGTCAACATCACCCCGCTGCCTTGCGACGGAAATGTCCTCAAACTTAACCGTAAGCATTGATATTTTTACATCTGTTTTTACATCTGCTTTGCATGAGTTGTTCATTAATTTTAGAACTGCTTTGTGCCGGCTCAGCCTTTTCCCACATTTTGTCTGCAGCACATTCCACTGTGGCGATCGACTGGGACACGGAATCAAAGAAACAGTTTTACGATGAGCAGGAAGCGGAGGTCAGAGGACTCATTTCTCCTCAGATAAACTCTGCGGCGTCTCATGCAAACACTCATCCGCATGTATTCAAATGTCTGTTGCAGGCCTACGAGAAGCACGACAGCATGCTGCAGCCTCAAAAAAAGAAAACAACCGTGGCTCTGAAGGAATGCATCGAGCTTTTTACTACAATGGAGACTCTAGGAGAACATGACCCTTGGTAATGTTTTTTTTTCCTTTTCTTTTCTTATAGGAAACACACTGCACCGTAGTATTCTATTATCTAAAACACTTTTTTTTTTTTTTTTTAAATGCAGGTATTGTCCAACATGTAAAAAACATCAACAGGCAACAAAAAAGTTTGACTTGTGGTCGCTGCCTCGCATTCTGGTCGTTCACCTGAAGCGTTTCTCCTACAACCGGTGCTGGAGGGACAAACTCGACACACTGGTGGACTTTCCCATCAGGTACGATGGTCAAAAAAACATTTAAAATAGTTTAGCCGATCAGCGAATTCCTCCAACACTGCAAGGCAGCAAGACCTGGCGCACTTTTTGTTTTTTATTTATTTATTAAGCTTCCAGCACGAGAAACTTAAAAATGGATTTGATCACTGATTTCCTTCCCAGTCTGAGGTTCTATCATTATGTTTTATCTTTATATTATTTTTTTTTATATTGTAGAGTGTAGTTTGTATTGTTCCTCATGGTCAGTTAGTCAGCCTTTCAGTGTTTTGCGAAAATGTTTAAACCCCTTTTAACTTTTTCACATTTTGAAAATACAAACTTCTCTTTATCTTTCATAGATCTTTGTGATGCACCAACACAATAAAGTGCATCATTGTGAAGTGAAAACAAAAATAATTTACGTATTTGTTTTTTCTTTTAATCTAAATATAAACAGTATGGCATTTTTTTTTATTCAGCTTTTCTAGGCCGATACATTTAAAATCATATTTTTACTACAATTACATCGATAGTTTTGGGGTTTTAGTTTGGCACTTCAAGAAAATCAACATTCCCTTTTTTGTGTGTAAAACCTATATTACCCCTTTCAGGTTTGTACAGTTGCAAAATATTAAATAGAATGTATCATTTTCTTCCACTTCACAATGAAATGCTTTGTGTCTGCCACATGAATTCCATTAGAATACATTGAAGTATGTGGTCGTCACCAGTCGTGTTGTTTTTATGCATTTTAACATTCACTTTCCTTTTTGTCAGATCGGTGTTGTTTATGTATCATAACAAAATAGAAAAGTTTTAAGTTTCTGGTTTGTGAATCCTCATACTATAACTCCAGCAATGCAGGATTGCGCAATCAGGAACTCGTGGATATTAATCTGATGTGTGAATGAGGAAATGCTGATCGTGTTCAGAAGTGAACTCGGTTCTTGTCTCCGACACCTTTGATCAGAACTCAAAGAGCAATAAAACCTCAGTTTTTATTACCCATTTTGTTTTATGACTGTACAACTTGCATAAGTCAGGACTTTTCTTTTTGTATAACTTTGCCTTTAGCTGCTGTGTGTGTGTGTGTGTGTGTGTGTGTGTGTGTGTGTGTGTGTGTGTGTGTGTGTGTGTGTGTGTGTGTGTGTGTGGAAAGGGGAAGTTGCTGCAGGGTTATGTAGTCAGACAGCCACATATCACATGCTGACTTCTGTTTGGAAACCATTTTCAAAAGGTTTTTTGTTTCTTCTTCTTCTTCTTAGCGTAAATTGAAGCACACATTTTCTTTTGTCAGGGATCTAAACATGTCGGAGTTTGTGTGTGACCCAAAAGCGGGCCCTTACGTCTACGACCTCATTGCTGTTTCAAACCACTACGGAGGAATGGGAGGCGGCCACTGTAAGTCACCTTATTTCCCCTAATGTAAATCCGGATATTCAGTACTTAGTGATGCACGTGATTCAAAATCCACATTGGATGCAATGCAACGGTAGACCGTGAAATATCTTGATGCACAGCTGTCAGTGTAAATCCATCTTTACTGCATCCCTCAGACTGCTTTGATTAGATATTTTGTGGTTTGGTAAAAGGCCTGCATAGTGATTTGTCAGCACTCTCCGTCCTCCGACACAGATACGGCTTATGGCAAGAATAAAATGGATGGGAAGTGGTATTACTTTGACGACAGCAGCGTCTCGTCTGCCTCTGAGGATCAGATTGTGGTGAGTTTAACACTTTAATTATTGTTTTATTTACCATACGAATGGCTCCTGTGCCTCCCTGGCTCTCCGCCCGCAGTGTCCGGTGTCCTTGTTGTCGTAGTAACCCCCAGCCCCGTCGTCTCGTTGCAGACTAAAGCGGCCTACGTGCTCTTCTATCAGCGCAGAGACGAGGACAGCCTGACCAAACCCGACCCGCCGGCCTCGCTGGGAGGAGCCACCGAGTCAGGCGACGACCACATGGACACAAACTGAGGAGCCCCGACTTAACGAACACACAGCGAAAACACACATGGCGAGTAGAGACTCGGGATATGCGCACACAGTGCTTCTTTAGTGGTAGAGGACTCCACAGACTCGCTAACCCTTCCTCCTTCAAGTTTATTTGATTTGCGTCTCGTCCGTTTTTCGTCTTCAACAAAGCGACCGCGTCAGAAGAGTTGAACCTAGAGACTTCCTCCCCCCCGAAGCAGGTGATCGTAGCGTTGCTAGTCCGGGACTTCAGAGGAACACAGATAAACATGGAAGCTCTCGCCGGATGAGCAGAATGTTAGAAGTGCCCGCAAATTCTTCTGTCGCCCACGAAAACGTTCAGAAATATTTAAATGACAAAAAAATAAATAAATAAATAAAAATAAAAGCCAAATGCTGATATTGTTTCAACCAAAGTGATTCTAGGTATTTATGAAGAGACGACGCAGAAGTGAGCAGGGTACTGGCTTTGTGCCTACATTTATTTGTTGAAATTACCGCTGTGCTGATGTAAAATGCAAGTTTAACAGTGTGACGTGCACACAGAATAATACATGCCACCTTAATGAAAATATTTGCTGTGGATTCATAGAGCCACTGCTGCAGCAGCCTAGCTGCCACAGCCCTGTGACGCATCGAGGTGTTTGACATTGGACTTGACAAGTGGAAGCTAGTCGGCCTTGCTTTTTTTTTTTTTTTTTTTTTTTTTTGTTTTGTTTTGTTTTTTTAAATAAAGCACAGCTTGAACTTTGCTGTGTCTTGGGCCCGTTACGAGAAGATTCCCACCCTCCTACAATTTTTTTTTTTTTTTTTTTTTTTTTTTTTTTTTTTATAATCAAGTGAAATAAGCGGCCTTTTTATTCCTGCAAACCTGACAAAAAGGAGGCACTTTGAAATCTTCACAAGTACATAATCTACCTGCTTCTGGTGTGTTTAGTCAGAAAGGTGGTGTGGCGTAACCGTAGCGTTAAGGCTCATGGTCCGCCGGGCACTTTCTTTAAATCACCTAGTCCTTTTAAGGGTCATTCGACTGCTGCTGGATCTGACCAGCTTACCTTGCAATAGCTCGTCCTCATTAGACATGTACAATTCATGCAGCTCTGTACTGAAATGCCTGTTCTTTGATGTTTCAAAGCACACCGAGTGAAAGAAATAAACTGGTATAAAAGTGGTGGTTTTGATTCATGGAACTTTAAACTTATGAAGATCTGTGCATGTGATGCAAAACTTGGCAATTTAGACCCCAAAATGTGCTTACTGACAAAATGATCCAGTAGAAGAATGCAGAGTTTAAAGTGTTTTCAACATGATCGACAACAACAAGGATAGAAGATATTATCTTATGCGCAACATGTAAACAGTGCTTTAGTACTTGTTGTGTTTACAGTGTTTTTTGAAAGGGAGCCTGCATTCCTGTTGCATACAGCATGTGTCTCGTCTGCTGGTTGGATCTGACTTGGTTACATCATTCAGCAATTAGTGCCTGTCTGGATAAGTTATGCCTTGGAATAGGAAAAGCTTTCCATCTGTAAACGTTGTCTTTGTTGAGGAGACGATTCTGACAACCCAAGAGATGAAGAAAAAAAAAATACATTTTAAGTAGGTGTATGAATTCTTGTCTGCATATTTATCCAGGTTGTTTTTAAATTAGAATATTTGAAACCCAAGAACAATAAAGACTGGAAGCCTCAAGTTTTTTTTTTTTTTTTTTTTTTGTGTGTGTGTTTGGAATAATTACATGCATAAGCAACCCGGTGGCGTAGTGCTATAAATCGATTTTTGGTTAGATGGTATGTTATTAATGAACGATTTTTTTGATTACAGTAAACTTTAGTGTACGCTAGATTTCATATCGTAAACCAGCTATTTCTTTTGGTAAAAGTGAAAAGGGTGGTGAGCATACGTATTCAGTCCCCTTTTTAATCTGACATCCCTAAAAAAAAAAAAAAAAAAAAAAGGTCTATTGACACCAATCCCCCCCCCCCCCCCCCGACCTCCATCTC